ATCTTTCATATTAAATTTCTCTTTTAAAGATAAAATTATTTTTTATGAAATAAAGAAAAAATAAGATAATCACTCATTTATTTTCTAACACATTTTGTTTTAAGGTGACTGGAGCTTTTAAAGATATTTTGCTTTGCATTCAATGGGCGTTTTCTTTTTTTTTTATTCAAATGAATAGGGTGTGTTTGCTTTTCTTAATTCCCCAATGCTACGCTAATTTATCCTTATATTCAATCGCTTTTGAGGAGCAGCAACTTGTCTTAAAGTAATAATTTAAAATATCCCCCAATCTCCCAGGGTGAACTGGATTCAGTTCAAGCATGTTTTAATTGTATTCCAGTCACTGATGTTGTAAATAGAGGAACGAGTCATCGTAAAAATTTTGGGATCAGATTAGAAGCACACTTATTCTGGGTTTGAGAGCAGATTTCATATTTTATGGCTGTGATTTGCTGATTTATCTCCAAAAAACCTGTAATTAAACATACTTTTAGACTTTTGATTACCTTAGAAGTGATGATTGGAAATGAAAACTCTGGCTGAACAACAAACTCCCCAGTTCTAAGCTAATCAGATATTTGAGTTTTGACTGATCTTTGATTAAAGCTACAATGGCAAACCTGGAACAAGCTAGCCTAAAACTTTTTTTCAATTTCTCTTAACAACATTTTAACATAGTATAGCTATACATTTGGGAAATGAAATAATTATAACAACAACAACAACAACAGTAATAATAATAATAATAAAAATAATGAAGAAGTGGTTCTCTGTTATTTGTCTAAAAACCTCAGCCAATAACATGGCTCGGTTGTCGGTCTCGCCTTACCACTGCACTTCCACATATGCCTCGGTCCTTAGGGATGTGAATCTCAGAGCAACTCACAATTTGATTCGATTCCGATTCTCGGGGTGTCGATTCAATTCAGAATCGATTCTCGATTTAAATCGATTCACAATCAATATTAACAAAGAGTGTCAGTTCCAGGATTAACTACTTTGTTGTGCAAGTTAGTTAAAACTATGGGAAATGTTTTATTTTACTTTAAACTGGTCGTGCTAAAAAAAAGCTAATTTACAGGTAAAATAAAGTGATTCTAAAACTGTAAACAGAAACAATCTTTTGACCAAAAGGAAACATTTATTTTTGCTTACCTTGTAAAATATAACAAATCTTTAGTTATCTAACAGTAGCTTTGAAAGTAATATGATCAAATACTTTTTAAGTATGTGTGGAAACAAGTTTAACATTTGAGTCCTCAACCTGTTTAAAAAAAGAGTCTCAGATTTGTTACAAAGGAAAATGTGTTCTCTCATTTATCAATAACTTCAAATAAACACATGAGTAATCCTGAGTACTCCCTTATCAACTTAGAAAATATATATGAGAATCTCAAATTTCTGAGTATGGAAAAAACAAACAAACATTCTAGTCCCCACTTATCAGCAGATTCAAAACTACATCATCCCAATTTATGGGACCGCAAAAGTAAACAGTACTAACTCGCCTAACAAAGATAAAAAAAAACAGACAAAAGTGCATCTCGAACATGTAACATGCCAAACATTTGAGTTCCTGGAATCGATTCTGAACCTTTGTGAATCGATTCTGAATTTTAATAAATAAGAATCCCGATTCAGACTTGAATCGATTTTTTTCATCACCTCTATTGGTCCTCCACTCATTTACGAGCATTTTGCAACAGAGCACCACTGGTGAGGTTCTCCGCTCAATAATATGAGAGAAGGAGAAACGGTCAGCTGCTACCACTTCCACTTTTGGAAAAACTGCCAAACTCCCAAATAGAAAAACACCATTTGAAGTAGCGGACAACAAAAGACGCTTGGACATAGAAAACGGTAACTGGTGTTTAGCACTCTCGTTTTCTCGAGCAATGCTGGTTCCAGTAATCAGGCGGAAGTGGTCTGGGGATGACAACCGATGGGAACGTTGAGGGGTCAGTGACGATGTTTATGTTTAAAAGCTTGTTTTGCAGATTTGCCGTTGCATCTTTAAGCCCATCACACTGCATGTCTGCCAGCTCAGAATGTTTTTTTTTCTTCACCTTTGTCTATTAAATGCTATTTAGCACCTTCATTTCAGACATTTGCACTCTAGAAAAATAGTACAGTACCAACCTCCATGTCAGACTCACAACCACATCATTGTTGACTTTAGATTCTCTTAAATGTATTTTATTTCATTACCAATTTGGCTTGGCTAACCTCCAAATCACTAAAGTTTTACTCTCTCTCTCTCTGTAATGCTTTAAATGATAAATCCACAAATTGGAGCCCATATTTAACGGCTCCAAAGAGAAGCTGCATGCTCGGACACAAATGGTGCTGGGAAGTCTGTGTGGAGCCTTCATTTGGAGCATCTTTGTGTTTGACTTTTGCTTTATTGACCACACACAGACAAGAACCTTCCTGTCCAACTGAAGCCTGTCGGCTCGGCACACAAACAGGACTGTGAGAAAGCCAGGCTGGTATTTACCAAAGTCTTGATGTAACACCTCTGTTTCAGACGTTGGTGCCTCCTCCGTCGCCAAGGGCATTTCCACGGAGATCTCAGGCTGAAGTGGAGTTTGCTCATAATCATTGTTTAGCTCCAATTTAACCAAATTCAAATGGACAATAATTCGTCTTAAAGCAGAGCATCTGCCTTGCCTGTTTCTACATTTTTTTTCATCAGCAAGTTTAGCGATACAACCCATCACTCAAAGTGAAACTTAAAACCACAAAGGGGTCACAGAGGTCACCCAAATAATCTCCCTTTATGATGTCCCGCTGACAGAGAGGTAGCCAGGCATCCCCAGTCAAACCAGAGAGGAGGTGGCCATCCTAAAACTCTCAGCAGTGATTACATCTGGCCTCCCTCAGCGTGCTCCAAACTCATCCTCCTGAGCCGAGCACACACTCCCTGGGTGGAGCCCCTGTGGCCTCAGGATCCCATTTTTAACATTTGTGACAACTCAGCTGTGGGAGTGTTTCATCATTGCTGCACTTGCATGGCTTCTCTTCCCTCCCCCCGCCTGTTTTATGCCAGTAAGAAGCAGCTTTTGACATTTAGCTTAGAAGAAGAGTACTGTCAGGGGCATAAATACAACGTCTGGCATCAGCTTAAACTTTGATCTGCTGGTAGCAGAATCTGTGAAGTCATTGGGGTTATTTGTGATCTACGCGTAGTAAGACGACACGCGTGAAGACCTAGTAAAAGATGGTGACTTAGTATTTGACGATCAGTGTGAAATTCTGCAAAAAGGGAGAAGTTTTGAAAGATTTGATTGTAGGAGAAACGCGACGGAGGGGGCTGCCCTGCCCCGCCGCGCCCACAGTGGTGTTCATAGGAAGGCAACAGCGAACAGTTGCAACAGATCGTCTGCAATTCCTAGCAGCAACTGGTGGCCTCCAGCCATCCTGACAGTTGCCATGGCATTGTTTTGTTTCAGGTTTCGCCCACAGGAAGTGGTCCATAGCCGGCCATTCGGGCCACCTTGACTGAGCGGGGTTATCGTTTGGTTTTAAAAGCTGGTGATGAGTTATGGCTCCTGGTCACTAATTAACCTGTTCTCTCTCTGTTCTCACATGTAGAACAGTGCAGCTCATAACGCACAGACTTTTGATTATCGCTGCCTCTGTTTTGAACTTTGGGTTTGTTTATCTTTTTTTGACGAATTGGACAACACAAAGTTGGCGTCTAAACAACAGCATTTGGTAGAACGTGATGTTCTACTTTTTCTTTTTTTTTCCATCACTGTTGATTCCTGTTTGGTGTCCTGTATTGTGCTGGCCCTTTATTTTGAAGGTACCCTCTGATCCCCCCCCCCCCCCCAAAAAAAACACCAAAAAGATTCCCTCCATCTCTAATGATTGTCAGGTCTTACAGAGGAATGAGGGGCAGAGGGTGACTGTAGCAGGGCCACAGAAACTCTTGTAGCTTGTGCAAATCTATAGAACTGGTTTTCCTTTTCTGTAGTCGTTCATTCTGCTCCACGTGACCTCGCTTTCTTGAAAGGCCACCTTCAGTTGGAGCCGATCCAGCCTTTTTTTTTTCTTGCGTGGTTTGTGGTGTTTGTGTGTGTGTGAGAGAGGGAGAGGGAGAGGGAGGAGTTGGTGGTTCTGGGGGAGGGGTTGGTAAGGGATTTGGCAGCTCCTTTGATCAATAAAGCATAAACAAGCGGGGGGCTTCAGAATGGGTTTCATTGTGTCAGGGGGAGGAGTGCTGAGTCAGGCCCACTCGCTCTCTGGCCTGGGATCGAGAGCAGACAGGCGGGCTGGGATTACCGAACGGGCCAAGGGAAACTTACTGAATCTCTCGCTTCATCCAGCTGTTCCAAAATCTGCTCTAATGGCATTTTGGGATCAAATTAACACCAAGCTGTTAAAAGAAACACAGTGAGTTTTTGTTGATCACTAAAGGGAATATTTCATGGCATAATAAATAAACTCTTTTGTCTCTTAAGTCTCTTTACTACAATTAAAAAGTGGCTTTGCGCAGACGAGCTGCTGGAGTTTGGTGCCTTTTAGGGAGAGATGGTGTGTGTGTGTGCGTGTGTGTGTGTTCTAAATAGGATGGTTAAAAAAAAGGGAATAGCTAGGTTTTAGGTCGTAGCTCAGTCTGCGCCTTTGTCAAGCAGGTGAAAGCTTTGTAAATGTGGCGCCAGATTGTTAAAGCCCCTGACACTCCGCAGTGTCCGAGCCGCTTCCAGGAAAAGGGACCCCCTGCGTTGAGCCCTGGGACTGACCCTCCCTCAATAGAGGGGGACCTGCCTGGGAGAGGAGGGCTTCCTGTATTAGCTTTCCATCTTAATCAAGAAACAAGTGCCAACAAAGCAGTAATTATCAATGCCTTGGGAGTGCACACAATGCCCCTACCCCACCCCTGCCCTGTCCCCTCTATGCGGAGATGGTCAGAAAAAAGATGAAGTAACATTGTTGGATGTGACCATAGATTAAGGTGTTTTAAAGTATATTTTTGCCATCTGCTCTTGTTGCAGCCACATTGATAAAACGACCACTTGGCAGGATCCCCGCAAGCCCTTGCTCCAGATGAACCAGACTTCTCCTCCAAGTTCTGTTCCAGTCCCGCAGCAGACTCTCATGAACCCAACCAGCGGTATGTGCAAAAATCAGCTAGCTAGAATCGTGAAGTTTTTACTTAAATTTTGCTTTAATGGAGGAAAAACTCAGTCTAGTTCTTACTTGTCACTAATGTGCACAACTTGGAATTTGGAATTTGCCCCAGGTGAGGTAAGACCGAGGCAGGACGCGTCCTTCTGTTAGTTTGGAAGCTCTGTGACTCAGATCAGTTTAACAGATGACGTCATTCTCTTTGTCTCTAGTTGATACCGCTCAACCTGTTAGCTTGTTGGTAAATAATAAAAAAAAAAAAATCTCAGATGCTGACGGGCTTGTTTGTCAGGGACAGATAACGGTGATTCACTCAAAGACGATTAAATAAACCTGATTTAATCTCTGTTTGTGCACACATTTGATAACGCTGCTTCGTATTCTTCTCAATGTTCGTTGGTGTACTTTGTGAAACAATATCAGTAAAGAGAAATTCCTGCATTCAGCCAACTTCCAGTACTTGTTCAATGTTATTTTTCCCTGTTATCCCTCAGGACCCCTCCCTGAAGGCTGGGAACAAGCCATAACACCAGAGGGAGAAATTTACTACATCAACCACAAGAACAAAACCACATCCTGGCTTGACCCACGACTCGAGCCACGCTATGGTAAGCTGGCTGCAGACGGGAATCTTGGTTTCATCTCTTTTTATTTCTCAACTAAAGTAAAATACATCTGCTCCGTCTTCAGAAGAGGAACTTCTTACACAAAATCTGATGATTCTGAAGCTTTTATTAGACTCTTGCATACTACACCATCTGGTCCATTACCTTTTTTTATTAAGACAAGTGCAAATTTTCAATTGCTTAACCATGTAACCGTTACGTCTGTGACAGTGACTGAATGGCGAATTTTCCGTCATCTTTTGAGGAGAGCATCGGTGTGTTTTTCAGGACAAAAGATTAGACTTTTTTTTTTTCTTGGCAGCAAAGAATCACAACATTATAAATGACACTGCACCTCCTTTTTACCATAATACCAGTTGGTAACTGTCAGTGTCTCCATCTATTGTTGTTATAGAGATGGATGGATGTCTAATGTGATCTTGCAATGCAGCTGCCACTGCCGCGGCATGCTGTTCATGCACCCGGTGGAACTCAGTCGCCTGTTCTTTATAGTCGTTCCCAGTGGTGATGCCAGGGGGCGCTAGGGGGCGCTATAGCTACCCCTGGATTAGTCATTGCACCCCCAAGTAAATATTAGATTATTTTTTTTTAAATTAAATTTTAATTTAACGTGTGGATGTGATCATATTTAACATACAAAACAAAAATAATCAGTAAATTATCATATAGATAGTAAAAACTTCAACCAAAACAGGAAATTGATGTTAACCTTTGACCTCATTTTCCACCTGCGAACGAGTGAAAGGTAGAGCTAGTGGTAAAATGGATCGGTTTTTGTTGCCCACATTTCCACGGGTTCAGTCAGAAACGAATGAATGTTTGGAAGTGATCTCAGACCCACAAAAACCTACGGATCTGGATGAAGAGTCAACCCTCAACCGCCGCAGCAGTCGAGGGTTTTGCCACTGGAAATGCTAACACTAACGTTAGCTAACCTTGCAACACTATAGAAGGTTTTCTGTGTGGCTGCATGTGTTTATGATTTCATGGAAAAGTCAGCGATTGTTCATATGTTTATGATGTTTATTAATGATTGTTTCAGGTGTTGTTGAGGTTTTGTGCACGCATGTGTATCTGCTAGTGTTGAAGGTGTTTTAGAGAACAATAGGTACGCACGACCACTTCCTTCATAGCACCCTCAATAAAAAGACTAGCTCCTTCATAGCATCTGCAGAAAAAAATTTCTGGAGGCACCACTGGTCGTTCCCCCTAACCTAGGCTTTCCACCGGTTGCGTAATGAAATGGCTGCATTGTCCACATGACCCCAGCCGTCCAATCATATCCCACTGGGAGCGTTTCAGATTCAAATCTGCAATGAAAGTGTTCCAACTGGACGAGGCCAGCCTGGTGAGCCATCCTAAATATGCGAATATATATTCTCAGCCACAACACATTGACTAATCTTGATTGTGGGGTGGAGTCTACGGTTGTTTTTCAAACTGTCTCCAAATGCTATTGGACAACGAACAACGTGACATACTCACCGCCATGGATGTCAGTCAACGGGGCAGTCACTGTTGAAGAAGATGCAAATACATACCTTTGTCTAAATAAAGGACTTAAGTACCTCTATCTTCTTGTGACTCGAAGAAAAACCCAAGACTAAATAGTCCAAAGTTGATTCCAAAGCCGTTTCGCTCAGTCACATCGTCCCGCCCACCAAACAGAGCGCTGTGATTGGCCACCAGACTGGTCGAGGCTGCGGAGGTTCCAAAGGAGCGTGGCCAGACCGACATGCAGAAGTAGCTTCTACTACTGTCCGTCTAGATTTGTGGGCTAAGATGAAGGATGATTTTGTAAGTTAACAAGCAAATACAAAGATGGCAGCACGTATTCAAAATGGTCTGCATTTTATGTTTTGGTCTTCTTATCTCGGCTACATAGGTACCACAGGAACAGGAAATCTGCACGTGTCTTATTTTGAAAGTTACAGGATGCTTTACCCTTCTCTCCTGTTTGACTTCCTTTCTGGATGGATCTAAACTGTTGAGGTTGACGCGTTCTGGAAGCGTGCGTTAAAAGAAAAATGGATCTGAAGCGTAAATTTAGCAGAGTGACGTCCCACTTTGCATCTAGGACGCGTTCAATCACATTTTAAGAAGTTATTCTACAACCAAAAATAGGAATATCCCATAAAAGGGTTTTGGATTAAAAGTGTATCAAAAAATTAAGAAACCTTTAGTTTTTGACATACTTAAAAATCCTCCCGCTGATACGAGGCGCCGTTTCTTTTCCCGTGGCGCTCTGCTCGTTTTCTTATTCTACATAGCAGGGATAACTCGGCAGACGTTTTATTGACTGAAACCAGATTTGTTGAAACCCCACCACCCTTGAAACTCTCACCTAACCTTTTGTCAGCCATTTTAGTGTTTGATGCAACAGCTGAGTTAGCCATTAATCCCTCAGGTCAAACTAACGTTTGACAGTTGGCTCTCGGTGTGCGTTGGCCCGGGTCGGCTGAATTAGCGACAGGGCCAGGTACGTGTGCTGAAACCTCTCGCCGTCTACGAGAATGAGCTCGTCCCCCGGTGAGTTGGGAAAGCTTCCACGGATCGAGGCTCCCGTGTGTGTCACTCTGACTCACTTCTGCTTCAGGTGCCGTCTTTTCTTTGCAGCAGCTCCCTGGGGAGCTCACCCCAGTTCACAAAAGCAACGTGTGCTAATCTGTTCAGCTGTTTAGATTTAGCATTTGATTTTAATCCAGCAGGTACTTGAAGTGCAGTTTCTCTGTAAGCAATCGAGTGGTGCGGCGAGGGCAGGCTGGAAAGTTCAAAACAAAGCTGTGAGGGGGAGTGGGGCAGCTGGGAAGGGAGATGGCGACTGTGATCGGCAAACGCTTTGAAGGTTTATAAGTCTTGAACACACAAGGCGGCTGGGCCCCTGAGAGCGAGTGAGCGCTAGACAGACTTTTAACTCATGATGTGCCTTAAATGCGTGTTTTCTCACATGAAGTGAACTTGCCTTTTGCATTTAATCATTTCTTTATTTTCTCAGGACTTAACCCATATTTTGAGTTTATGATTTACATCTTTCTTCCTTTACTTTTTAGGTCTCCAATTATAAGGCAGCTGCTTTGATAATGGAGGCTAATTTGAGCTTCGGGAAGAAAAGCAGCCGAGCTCCTTTAACTAAGGGTTGTCGCCGGCTGGCTTTCCCCCATGTGAGGCCCTGCAAAGGCACTGCCCCATTTCGCTCGAGCTCCAGACAGACTTGAATCTTTGCCAGGCCTCTTTATTCTGCGGCCCAACTCTTAATCTGTTCCAGACCTTTTCAAGGGGCGGGGGAGTCGGGGAGGGAGGAGGCGAAAGGGGAAGGAAGAAAATGGGAGGAACGGAGGGAAAAAAATACAGATAGGATAAGTATGCCTTCCTCCTCAAGGACTAAAGAGGTGCTGAACAGCAAAGAAGCCGTAAAGGTGCAGTGACTAAGTTAGGAGATTGGTTCACCAGCAGGACAAAACATGCGTTGTTGTTGTTGTTGTTGTTCCTTCTCCTCCTTCCTTGCAATAATGTCATATCAAAAAAATCTCCATTATATTTCAGGATGTCTCAGTCGTGATTTTTCCATCAATTTAAGATTGATTATTAAATTTAAACTTCGATCAAAGCATGGATGTTTTTAGAGAGGATCACAGTGTAGGGAGACAGTTTATCTACACACGTCAGCAGAGCTCTCATCTCTCTTGACTCTCACCTTTCTCAGTGGCCTAGTGGTAGAGTGTCCGCCCTGAGACTGCGAGATCAGGGGTTCGAATCCTGGTCGGGTCATACCAAAGACTTTGAAAAAATGGGACCCAATACCTCCCTGCTTGACACTCAGCATTAAGGGGTTGGATTGGGGGGTTAAACCACCAAATAGTTCCCGAGCGCAGCTGTGTCTGCAGCTCACCGCTCGCCCAGGGGATGGGTCAAATGCAGAGAACAAATTTCGCACACACACCTGTGTGTGTGACAGCTAATGGGACTTTAACTTTAACTTGATTCTCACAACCACCGAATGTTTGATAAAAAACGTCGTAAACAACAGTCGTTGTTTGTGGGTGCTCTTTATTTATCTCTTATCAGTATTTTTAATTAGTTAAAAATAACCAGGATCCATAAACACAGCTGGTGGTGTGTTTACAAACAGCTTTCCAAACGGTGTTTATAAATACAGGAAACGTAAACGTGTCTAAACTGCTTTAACTACACGACTGCTGATTAAAAAAAACACTTTAAAATGAGACGTGTGTTAATTCATTACTATTTTAACTTTTTGTTCATGCTGCGGTGGAGGATTTAGCAGAGTCAAAGTGAAACTAACTCAGATTTATGAAGAAAAGGTGTTTTTGTCTAGTGCCTTGCTAGATAAAAATCATAAAGAGCTTCACAAACACAATACAATTTCAACAAAAGAAAAGATGAGATTAAAAAATAAAAAAATAAAATCAATGATTAAATTGTAACTAGACACTCATCTTCATTGGTTGTTGGTCTCCATTCTGTTTTCGAGCTCTTCAGAAGCCCGTTGATCACCTGTTAACGGAAACCCCGGATCTAGACCATCGTAGATCAATCAAATTTTATTTGTAGAGCACCTTCTACAACATTATCGGAAGCCCAAGGTGCTGAACAACATCATTAAAGGAAAAACATTCCCAGTACATGGGCATAAAAGCAGGATAAAGACATAAAATCATAAAATACCAAGCAAACACTATTACAGATAAAGAGAGATATCGGAATAAGACTAGTCGATAAAAAACAAATGTTGGACAAAATAAAATCAAGCATCTGGGTTAAAAAGAATAGTTAAAACCATGATGTCAGGGCAATTCAAATGACCCTAGCGCTAAAACGCAATCAAATAAAAATGAGTCTTTAAACGAGACTTAAAGACTTGAAGGGATGGTGCCTGCCTAATGCTCAGTGGCAATTCGTTCCACAGAGTTGGAGCCAAAATAGAAAAAGCACGACAACCCCTCGATCGATATTTCGATATTTAGATCAGCGGTGGATTTTGTCAGTCTTGTCAATAAAACGCCTCGATCCGATGTCTTTTCTTTAACGAGGACATCCGAATTTAAAATGATTTAAAACACCTAAACACAGGATCTGTTATGATACCAAATATTCTGCTCTGCTTTGTTGATGTTGTCTTGTTTTACGCCGATCTTAAAAGGAGTGAATAATAATAATAATAATAAACTGTGTTTGAGTCACAACCAGGCTGTTCGCTCATACCAAGAACACCGCCTCTTCCCAAGAAGCTGGTTCTTTATTTTCTACTTGTAAAACCAACAGAAGATAAATATTTACTAGATCTTGAAAGGCGCTGTGCCCAGGTCCTACTGAGAGCTTCCCACAGCTGGCGTGCTCTGAGCTTTACCTGGCCCCAGGTGATCCTGCGGTGCAATGCGCCTTCCAGAGTGATGGCCTGATAAGGGCTCGCGTTGTGTTGTAGGCGTGCATGACGAAGACAAAAGGCAGGCGGCGTTAGCTGCTTTCTTATCTGCCCAGCCCACCAGCAGTCACCACCCGTATGTGTTGCTGATTTAACCCCTCCGAAAGTTCGAATGTGCACGCAGTCCCGGCTGCAACCTTTGTTATAATTCCCCGCTTTGGTATCATCCACGTTGGTGCATATTTCCTTGCAATAGGAATGGTTTTTATTTCATGTTTTGTCTTGGGGTGTGAATCCTTGACGTGGTCTGCCTTGAGTTAAATAAAATTCCTTTTCATTTCTAGTTTTGTTTCAGTCGTTGCACGTTTGAGTTCAGAACAGCTCCTGTGTAAAGCCTTGACAGATTTCCAGCCGTTGACGTGGCCCATTTGCTGGAGCTGTATGATGAGGAGTAATGGTGCCCTGATGCCAGAGAGATCCAGCCTATAAAGACTTTGCTATTTGCAAGGAGATAAGAGGCGGAGAGAAGAAACACACTCATCTCTTCAGTACAGCTCATGTGTGGGAGCGAGGAGGGAGCTCCGTGTGTTTGTGTGCATGCACGGGGTGGGGAGGTTGGAGGGGAGATGTGTTAGAGGGTTCAGAGCTTCCCATGGAGCTCTTCCCCAGAGCCACGGTTCATTCAGCTCCTGCAGGAGTGTAAACAGACATGAATGGTGACGGGGAAGGTGCTGGGGCGGGCGGGACGGCTCAAAGACGCAGCCCCGCATGAAAATCGGGCCACTAACGCTGCTTTGTTTTGGTTCCCACTCCAAGCACATAAGCAAACAGCACCCCCTTATTGGTCCCATTACTGTAACTCTTCTCTTACCACGCTGATACAAAGCGTGTGACCTACTTCGCATGCATACATTTAGGCCATTTCATCAGAACCAGCCCCCCTTCTGCAGCTCAGAATAACAAAAGGCACCAACAAACAACACAATTACATTTGTCATGTGAATGCATTTCATACTACCATTAGTGTTTGCATAACTTGGTACATTATTGCATCTGTTAACACGGACCTATTGGGCCCAGAGAGGGAGGCAGGAGGCAGCCGGTCTGGGAGAGTAATCTGCCCCTGGTTAAAAAACAAAACAAAGCGCATAATGAAAGGATAAGTCATGACTGATGCAATGTGCAAAACCGACAAAGCCTGTCTCGGTGTGTGGGAGGGGATCAGGTCTTACAGGAATACTTGTTTCAGATGGATGATAGAAAACCTCTGCCGGGACTTCTCGTCCCACACAACCTGCTGCACAGGATCGCCTCTTGTACAAGTTCACCCTGTCAACAGGCGCTCAAGCTGTTCATCTTGTTATGTCATTGCTTAGATGCAGCCAAGTTTTAAAGGAAAGTGTGATCCTGGAGCTGCAGGTGTGTTAACCATCTGACAGCGATCATGTAGCAGTTATTCAACTACTGGAGTTTGTTCTTGCTGAAGACTACGTGTGTTTTAGGTTGTGAATGACGGAATAGATCTGACAGATTTTCTTATAACCCTCCCACTGTCTTTATGGGTGTGACCCCGTGAAGAAAGTTGACCATTGAGCAGGGTTGATGGTTTATCCCTTGAGGTCCACGTGGCAGGGATGAGGTGGTGCTCACTCCTTAGGACAGTGGGAGGGTTAAAGCTCAACTCATCATGTGCTCATAAGAGTTATTTTTTATATTTAGATGTTTAAAATATAATTATTAATCATCACACTGTAGCTAATCCTTTGTCATTAGCTTCTGTGCAGCTTAAAAGAACACGTTTCCAGCTTCGCCATCCTACTGGTTCAAAGTGGAACTACAACTGTCATAAACATCCCTTTAGTAGCCTAAACATATTACTTACAAGTCCAGTAGTAACAAAGCCAGGTCACAATTAGTCCTTGAATTTTTAGCCTCCTTTAGCTCTCTCAAACCAGTGTAGCCCACGCTGATGTCCATTCTGGTTTTAGCTCTTTGCTTCACCTCCCAAGACAATACTCTCTCACCTCATCATCTCATGATGTCGACAAAAAAAGCTAAATTCTTCTTGTGCTTTTGATTGACAGTCAGTAAACTGAGAAAGCTAACCGCTAGCCTTTATATTAATCGCCATGAAGCAGGTAGAGTCCCATGAGTGTTCCTTCCCGAACCACAAAGCCGTTAAAAGCAGTTTTCTGGTCGGTAAAGAACTACAGAGTGCTGTCCAACGTGAAGTTGCTTCAGTTTCTGGCTCAATAACTATTGAAATCATTTTGAAAGTGTTAAAAATCTTTAGTGTTGCTTTCAGTTAAACACTGTTGTGTGCATTTCCTTTTTTTTTTTTTTCTTCAGGGCTGAACCAGCAGAGGAATACTCAGAGTGCTCCAGGGAAACAGGGAGGACCGCTGCCTACCAACTCCCACGGTGGAGTCAACCAGATGAGACTGCAGCAGATCGAGAAGGAAAGACTCCGATTGAAGCAGCACGAGGTGCTTCGGCAGAGACCGCAGGTCAGGAGTCAAAACACCAACTCTCTCAGGGAAAAGTTTTGGAGAAATCACTCTCGTGTGCTCCTCTAGTACAAAACAGAGCCATAAACACCTGTGACTCATATGTTAAGTCGAGGCAACAGCAATTCAAAACCGTAATTCTCCAAAAGGCCTGTCAATGACTCATGAGTACATGAGCATAGTGGTGGAGCTTAAGCCTCTTTGATCAGTCTTTATTGTTCATCTAGCCTGCTATGAAGCTACATGAGTCATCAGTGGTAATTTTATCACTTCCTTACAGGGACGTGTCCGTGCCGCCCACATAGGGTGGCAACGACGGCGTCTACTGGTTTACTCAGGGCTGTGTCATAAGACCAGAAACACAACTTTATGATTATGAATGAGTGAGCCGGAGACTTTGTTTACCCTACCATTCACACGGGTTGTTTAAAGTTCACGGTGTAGGAAGTGACCCATGCACTGGGGGCGTAAAGTGAGAAGAACTAGCTGACCTTACTGAAAGTCCACAGAGATTTTCCTGCAGGTTTCAGACAGTCTGGTTATTGTCGGAGAGAGAAAGCTGGTTTCCAGTTTTTGGTTATGACGAAGCTGCAGGGATTTTTGCTTTTTCCATGAATGCAAATGAAATTAAATGTGTGTGGCTGACATATAAACCTGTATCAGGTTGTGAACTCTACCCCACCTAAACTGAAAACAGTGATTTTTCCCATGGTTGGTACAAGGAAGTAATGGTGTTTGAGAAGATTTCGTGACTACATTTAAATTTGGAGAGAAGCATGAGAAAAAAAACAATGTTTCATTGGTTATTTATTGTGCAGGATTAGTAACATAAAGCTATTTGTAAGCCAAAAGTTGAATTATCTGTAGATCATTTATTAAATGTCATATCAACCATCTTTTTGGACTTATACTGTATGTAGTTATTTTTTCTCAGTAATTTGTCTAGACTATTAGCTAATAAACACTGAGCTCAGTGCCTGCTGGAGGGATATCTAAAAGGCTATCGGGGAAAGTGTGCGTTTTTAAATCAGTAACCTTTGCACATAAAAACTGTAGGCTGCACTGTATCGATAAACTTTGTGCTGTTTACCTTTACATCTCTGTCTGATTGGCAGAATATGCAGAATATTGCATTTTTTTTACTTGAGGACCTCCATTAGTCTTCATCAAAGTAAAGACTATTCTTCCTGAGGTCCATATGTTTTTTTAATTGCATATGGAATTACAAAAACATTACAAAAGATTATGAACAAACATTATTACACGTCAAATGAATGTAACAATAGTTCAGGTTCCAAAAAGAGTATTAACAGACAAGAAATAAAAATAGTTTATTGAAACCTTTATTAGAGAATATAAATTCAGTCCTTGAAAATATAATAACCCACCAATTATTGCAGTTTTAGTGTTTTTTGCTAAACGGTTATATATTTTTCATAAAGTACAACTAGAATCTGCACATAGTGTGTATTAGCTCTGAGTTTTGGTTTCATTGCACCACACAACTCAATGTTACAATAATCTCATAAGTAGAAAAAAATAAAATGTTAGATTTCAAAAGATTAAATAATTCTGGTGTCAAAATTTAAATGTAGAAATAAGGCGGTCAGTCAAAGGGAAGGTTCTGTCATTTTGCCCAACATAAATCGTACATCGAGTTTTTGTTTAAACTGCATGAATGCTTAGGTTAAGCAAGTGTTTTGTACTTTTGTTAAAAACCATTAATGATTAAAAATGAAAGAAATCCACTGTCACGTTAGTTATCAGCTCTCCTATTTCCAAAAATGCACTTTGGCCTTTGGCAAGTCTTAGACAAAGTGTTTTTCCAAAAGTCTTAAAGATCACCAGGATAGTTTTTAGTAAATGTGAGACGGGTCTGTGAGTTCTTCCTGGTCAGTTGGAGGTTTTGGCTTCGGACCTGCTGTTGTTCTGTGTTCTATTGCAACAATGACACGCTGCTTTTTGAAATCGTTTAGCCTTCTCGTGAAACAGGTTCTATCGAAGTGATTTCTTAATTCTCCAGGTCTGGGTGTGGCCAGTGGAACGAAACTCTGCTTTCCAAAAAATCTGTTTAATCACAATTAACCCATGACTTAAGATCTCCGCCTTTTATTTGAGTTTTGCTTTATTGAAAGTTGTTTTCTGATCTGAAACAATTAAGTGTGATTTAAAAGCAGCTTTAAGAGGGCAAATACCTCTCCATATACCTGTGTACGGCTAAGATTTTAACAGAGGTATCTCCCATTCGTGTACTGGTTTTGTTAAAGTCTGTCTCCATTAATCTCTTCCAAGAGGCTTGGACCTCGAGTCTTCATCCAATCTCCGAAGGGAAAATGTAACTTCCAGTGGCAGATGGTAAATTTGGCGTTTTGGTTTCCAACTGCAGGGGAGGGGCGGGGGTGACAATAATACCAGAAACAGACACGGCGACATCCTGTGCCGGCTCCAACATGACAATCAGGTCTAGTTTGGTTCAGCTGTGATTTTAACCCTCTGCCACTTCCGGTTAGGCAGGATCTGATTGTTGTTGCAGCTCAGATGGTCAGATCCTGAGGAGTAAGTTTTTATGCGCTCGGCTGACGCCTTTTTGTTCTTTCTTCCTTGTTAAAGTTTAAACGACATCACCAAACAGTGACACGAGTCATCCTATTGAAGGGGGTGGGGCGGGGCCATGACTACATATCCTCTACCTTATCTGATGCAGCGTGTGTTGAAAACAATTGTCTCCGACTGGTCTCTTGCGTAATGTGACACTCCAAACAGGAAAAATGGAGTGCAGCACATCGGCAGTGTTTTTTTTTTATTGTTTGTTTGTTTCTTGTTGTTTTGTTTTACTTGATTCATTAAAACACAACCATTTTAAATAAAAGTCTTATTCTAGTTATTTTTATTATATTTGATTCTATTTTATTCTATTTTTAATCTTATTATTCATGTTATATGTAGCACATTAGTACCGAAGCAAGTTCCTAGTTTGTGAATTGTTTGTTCACTGACAATGGCAATAAACCTATTCTGATTCTGATTTTAATCAGTTTGTGCTCAGGTTTATTTATTTTCCATGAATCCACAGGAGCTTGCTTTGAGGAACCAGCTCCCCACCAGCATGGAGCAAGATGGCCCCACAAACCCTGTGTCCTCCCCTTTGGCCCAAGATGCTCGGACCATGACTGCCAACAGCTCTGACCCATTCCTCAACAGGTTAGTTTCCTGCAGAGCCTCCTCTGTCGAACACCTGGAGGAAATAATAACGCAGCGAAATCTCAAGGCATGTCATCACCCAGCCCGAAGAAAATGCTTGGGCTTGGCTCGTCGGACCCAGCGCACCAGCGCATCCTCGGCTATTTGAGCTCGAGCTGCTGGAGCTGAATCACAAATGTTTACCGAAACAGAAGGCATGTCTCTTAACTTAACCCTCTTCACATGGTTGTGACTCACAGACCAGCAGATGTTCTGCAGTGTAGCGCACAATAACGACCTCTGGTGTCCAACCCCTGTAATAAAGGTACATGGTGGTTATGAAAGCAGCACTTTTTTCTTTTTTGGCTAGAACTTTCATAACTTAGCATCAAAGATGAAGCCTGGTGGATCAGAGTTGAACCCGATCCCGACTGGGATGTATTAACAAGACTTCACCTCATTCTGGTGTGCATTTCTTCACAGTTGAAGCAGTCGTTCTTCTGTGAGCAAACAGTGTGGAAAGAGCTGAATGGCGAGCGGCGGGACATGAGAACATGTGGTCCAGTCAGTAGACAGGCCGACCTAATCTCCCCTCCTCCCCCTGTTCCCGTCACTCCCTGGCTCTCACAAAGGCTTCATTCATCCTGCCTCTGCCATACTCTGCCTACATATTTTTCTGCTAATTAGTATAGGCTCGTCAAATGTCTTCTTTTCTCCCTTTGTCTCTGTTGTCCCTGTTTTTATTGTTGCCCTTTCCTGTGTGCTACGATGGAAAGTGGGAAAAATAAAGCTCTGTTTTACTTGCAGAAGGTCCCAGAGAGCACTTTTGGAGCTCTAAATAACACATTCAGATCATCGACATATATACGATTCAGATGTATCGTTTAAAGGTGTGGAACACTGAACCATTTAAAATGTTGTTTCTGATTATGATCAGTCACTCTTGAGTTTTTCATGCAGGCTGAACATGAAAATAGTCTCCTACACCCATCTCCTGCGTTTGTGTCTGATAGAAAATAGACGGTGAAACTGTAGGATTTGAAAAGTCTGACAGATCTACGTCACATTGTTCCTTAATATTCATGGACTCACCTATGTTGACTCGTGAACATCCCTGCTAGTAGAAGCTAACCGTTAGTGTTAGCACCTCCACACAGCAGAAGCTCCTCCAGGCTTGTGTTATTTGTAGAGATAAAACGTCTACGAAGCACGCCAGTGGTAGTCGAGTTGCTCCGAGGCAAGATATCCAAATATCAGGAAATAGGACTCCAAAACCTGCTGTTTGAAGCTCGGCTGTGATGTGGCTCACCTTTAGGTCCTAGAAATGGTGCACCCGTATATTTCTTCTCCCTAGAAAACGGCGTGCAAGGCATTCATTCCTACTAGAGACCACTGCAAATGTACAGTGATCCCTCGCTACTTCGCGGTTCGTTTATCGCGGATTCACGACTTCGCGGATTTTTTCTTTGGAGCCTTATTCAAGGAAATTCACCAATTCGCGGTATTTTTCAGCAATTCGCAGTATTCTATGCGAAATATCAAGAAATTCCTGTTTTTTTTTCATCAATTTCATCATAAAATGCACTTTTTGTAATAAAACTATAAAAAAAACAAGTAAAAATACAGTACTATGTAAAGGGAGGGTTTTAAAAGTCTGAATACTGAATACGTACCTGTTAAATAAATACTGGAAATATGGTGTCCCTACTTTGCGGATTTTCACCTATCGCTGCCAGGTCTGGAACGCATCTACCGCGATAAATGAGGGATCACCTGTATTGATTAAATGAGTGTTCCACACCTTTAATGTCGGAGAGCAAGTAAAAGGTCAGAAATAAAAGCTTGTGAGTTTTGCGTTGATTTAAATCCTGGTGGACAGCTAATAAGCCACAATTTGTCTCTACCTCTTTTTTCCCCATTCCCAGTGGGACCTACCACTCCCGGGATGAGAGCACAGACAGCGGATTGAGTATGAGCAGCTACAGTGTTCCTCGCACTCCAGATGACTTCCTGAATAGTGTGGATGAGATGGATACAGGTGAGTTCCTCACTGGGCGTAATTACCATGTAGTTGCTGCTTTATAAATATTTAAATAGAACGATAACTCCTGTTTTTAGTATCCTGGGAGCGGTTACTGCTAATCTTTCCATGCTGTTAAAGGAATCTTTGTCAAATCTTCCAGAATACAAGATACCAAAATTGCAATTTTAGATCATAATTTAGATCAGCTTCTCCATTTCCCTCCAACATCAATAAGAAACAGTCCCATCTGATTGCAGAATGCTTTTTTTAGCATCAGGGTTTATCTTTAAATGCAGCTGTTGAGTTTGAAGGTTTTCCCAATTATGAGGCTACATTGATCACACTGGTGGAAATATTTTTTTATGTTGGAGGACTCTTACGTCACACTCTGCCAAAACTTTTTACCATCGTTTCTGCTTTTTAAAAATTCTTGCCGTCTGCAATTCCGAGCAGGCCTCTCGTCTGGCCACCAGGATATTTCCCGGTGCTCCCGATGGCCAGTCTGCTACTGCCTGTTATCTAAATGCATTTGGGGTCATAGGTTAAGGTGGAAAAGAGGGTTTGACTTTTATTTATTTATTTTTTGAGGGGTTGCATTTCAGCTACCGTACCTACACGAGTCTATCAGGATTTTTCCACTCTAGGACAAAAAACCAACATCAAGGCTCCTCGCACAGACCGTATATATTCCTGCTCCGTTTTCTGTGTATTTTTGCCCTAAAACTCTAGATTTGCTTAAACATGAAAAACATTCCGGTTTTATCATTTGCCGGAAAATTAAAAGATGTTTATCACTTTCACTTGTTTTTCTCCTCAAGCAGATTGATTTGGTTCAGTTGTTTTATCTCAAACTCGTCATCTTTTCCCATTCATCAGGGGACCAACTTCCGCCCTCCATGGCAACGCAGCCCAACCGTTTCCCTGACTACCTGGACGCCATCCCAGGAACAGACGTGGATCTTGGCACCCTGGAGAGCGAGAGCATGGCGGTGGAGGGCGAAGAGCTGATGCCCAGTCTGCAGGAGCCTCTGAGCTCCGACATCCTCAGCGACATGGAGTCTGTGCTCGCAGCCACCAAGATCGACAAGGAGAGCTTCCTGACATGGTTATAGAGGACCGGAGCGGGGCCCTCTGAACTCCTCCTGTCTCAACAATCTGAACATCTGCCTGGCCACATCTGTGAAGGAATCCACGTTTGCTCTTTTACCAGACATTTCAGCGAGCCTCTGAACTTCTCTCCGCGTGCAGGGCTAACCTCTTTTCAGACAGTATTCTGGTCTTTTTTATTTTTTATTTTTGTCTGTGTCTTCAAGGCTGGCCTGTGAACAGACAATTTATGCAAGGGCCCCTAAATTGTTCCCAGGTCTTTTTGGTGAGTGTAGGGCTTATTTAGTCGGAGCGTAGCTGAACTGGGCAGATGCACGAACTCTTCCGTAAGGACTGCCTTTTACTGCTCATCACCTGGAGTCTCTGGAGCCTCTCTTGTCTTGCAGTATAGCACGAAGCAGCACTACATAACTGTGTTTGGGGCTTTTAGTTTCATAGCTTTATATTTGGCGCCTTTTTTAAAAAACATAAACAAGCCTGAAAAACCAAAAATGATGTATGTGGAGCATAAAGAACAATACTGATTTGGAGTGACGGTAACGTGAAGCCCATTTTGGACGTGTTGGCTTTGCTTTTTGGGGCGTGGGGGGTGGGACCAGGGGACCGACTACATTGCTGCTTGGCTGTGCCAGCGAGCCTAAGTTAAACCTTTGATCGATCAAGTGCCTTCAGATGTATTTTTTTTTAGACGCGAGCGACTCGAATAAATACCCAGTTTCTGTAATGCAACAAAAAGTATCAGGCTGTATTAACTAATATAAGCCGCATGTTCTTGTATGTGGATCAATAATCAAAAACTATTTTATTTTATGTACGTAAGGTGGTTTGGGGGATCTTTTTTAACCTCTAGTGTCTTTGTATCATCTTTATCCGAGCCTAACACTCGTTTTATTAGTTTTTTCCTTTTTCTTTTATCTCGTTACACCTGTTTGGTAGATTTTTTCTTTTACTCGGATTCATTGAAACATTTTTGTTATCAGGATCAGCTGTTCTCACATCACAAGATTCAGTCAAGCAGAACACTTTTTTTTAAAACATAACCAATCGTCTGATTCTTCTTTTTTTTTTTTGCTTTACTATACATATATATATAAATATATATATAAACGTATACATATTAGTGTTTTTGTTGATCACGAGCAGCTTGTTACTATATCTGCTTAAACATGAACCAAAAAAAAAAAGCAAAAAGAGGCAGATCTATAGACTCTATAGAGAACTTTCCTCAGATCAGTTTTAGCATGCGACAGTATAAACGAATTTTAACGTTCGAAACGGTCTGAAACCCCGTGTGTGGTGCTGTGTTGAGTGTTTTTATTGATTACAGCTTGGGGGCAAGTTTAAGCAGGCTTTAGAGTCACGTTACAGGAAAAACCGGAGGTCGGGGTTTGGCGGATGGCTGATATTTACACAGCTTACGTGTTTTTATTTTTATTATTATACTTTACTGGAAAAATTCAGAAACAATGGAAAAATTGCAGTCAGGAGCAGTAACACCAACCACCCATCCTGCTTCCAGTTAAACAGTATCTGTATGAACAACCGTATAAGCTAATGAGATGATTGGTGTATGTTTTAAGTGTTAACCGACACAGCCGAGTAGTTCTAACCGTTTTCCACGGTTTGTTTTTGAGTGGCTAACCCTAACAAGACGAGGATTCAGAACAAAGAAGCAGGTGATCCTTGAGCAGCACTCGCATGTTTACATACTTTAAGAAACCGCTACAGCCACATTGATAACTTCGAATCATGTTGTGATGTTTACATGATGACTAGATCTTTACAGTAATTCCCGGAGGCCATCACGGCGTCTCACGGATTCTGCTGCCAACTAATTCTAAACTGGTCGCATCAACTCAATGGAACCCCGTGCATTTATCTTCAAATAGAGGACATCTTTTAATTACTTTGCCTTGAGAAACTCCATTTTTATTACTTATCTGTACTGATCCTGAAAGCATATTTTGATGTGTTTCAAAGATGGGCGAACTGTGTTGGAGGGAGGGGGAGCAACTAGAATAAGTGGTACACCACAGTGCTTGCATTGCACAGCTAGAGTTTTCATTTGGTTGTATTTTGTCACAATTCAGTTTTTTTTAATCCTTACTTAGTGTGATATTGTCAGAGCGTTAGCTGACAATTAGCAGTAGAACTAATTACAAGTTAAAGGATTTTTTTATTTAGTTTTCTAAATGCACATGAAATGAATTATATCCAACATTGACTTTTTTTGATAGGTATGTGCATGTGTTTTAGAACGATAAATTCTGTTACATTATACATTTCTTCATATGATACTTTGAAATTGGCCTTGAATAAAGTATGTACTTTGTGGTAAATTGTACTTGTGTGGTTGTATATTTCATTTTGTTCATGAATTTTGCAATTGGTCATTTAACAGTTTTCTTCTTATTGGTCATTTAACAATTTTCTTCTTATTTTTTTCTTTATTTTTTTCATGAAATGTCTGTTGAATTGTGGGAAGAAACAAAAACTTGCTGAAATTCCCCACAAATGTGGGGAGAGAAGAGCAACTAGATAGTCGAACAGTTTTTGTCATAACCAACTCTAATCAAAGTGTTGTGGTTGAAGGAATGTGTTGAGAAAAAGAAAATCAACTGTAATTTGTACTTCAGCAGGTAGATTAGTTGTGTTGGGAAAACAATCATATAGATTTTTAATTCAAAATTTTCAATAAAAAGTACAAAATATTGTTAAAGTAAATTGTAAATACCATGCTCTTTAATTTTCAAACACGGGAGTACAAAATATTGCTTACTGCATAACTTCACAGAACATTTTTAAACGGTTATAAGAACTGTGTCATGTTTTTTGATTTGTTGGCATTTTCACTAGTGTGGCGTTGATTGACCGCTAGAGGGCAGTGTATGCAGAAAAAAATTAGCTCATCTAGCAAGCTGCACGGTTGGAAAATCGGCTCCTTTCATTTTGATATTTTCCATTGTTTCTTCTGAAAGTTGGGCATTTGACTTTTAATATAGATATTTAACCCAAATAAGGCCCGTTTGTTTAAATAAAACTCATTTTCTGTATTAGAAACAGTCACACAACGCACTTCTAGTGAAGACTTTCAAAACAAAGTTTCCATCTTCCGTTTTTAAAAAGGTATATTTTTTTCTATTTAACTTGAAATATGTTAAAACTTTCCAAAGACAAATCAAATGGGTAAAGACTTAGCTTTTGTCTCCGAGGGATGTCTGGGTAATGAAGTCTTCTGACAAGAAACGCGACCTGTGACGAGTATATTATACACGTTCTACCCTACCCAGTAGGTGGTGGTAGTAGATTTTAGTTCTTGTTAATGTTAACTAAATAACTAATTGCGATTTTGTAAACTGTCCAGTCCCAAGCAGCTTTTATCATTTTAATTTTGTTACTTTCTTTCCACTTTTTGATTTTTTTTATTCTTGATATTTTGATTAATGTAACAGGATGTGAGATTCACAAAAATCATAACATGCGATAATGAAGCTAAGAAAAGACTAATTATCTGATATACGTATAACTCCAAAATAAAAACAAAGCTATCATGTGTTAAAATGAACATATTTCATAAAAAACTATATTTCTTTCAAATGTACACTTTTCTGTAGTTTTGTGGACATGTTAATTATTTTCTTTGCATTTTAAATTTAACTCTTACACATGAATATTTCTATAAAACTGTAGTTTAGAAAATCAACTTTGAAAAAAAAATAGCCTCACAAAGAAAACCGAATGATTAAAACAAGTTAATCAAACACTTCATTCAAATAAATGTATTTAATTACATGTCTTATAATGTCTGAATACTATTCCAAATCATTAAATATCAGATAAGGGAAAATAATGATTACATTATTTAAAGTGAATGACCACAGATGAAATATTGTAAGAGTAGAAGGAGACATCTTTTCTTTCCAAACCTGGGGGGGGGGGGGGGGGGGCATGTAATTGAATTGAGGATGAAAGAAAAAAACAAAAAACCATTACGTGTCTTTAAAAGTGTCAGAATTGTTTTGTTTTCACAGTGTGAATTTTGTATTTAAATCTAAAGGAACAGCACTAAAGCGTGAAATACAGTCCACACAAACACGGTGACAGGAGGAACACACCAGGAACAAATATATGCAAACACTAAGAACCAAACACTAATTCCTTTCACAGTAAATACAAAACAGTTCAGTATGCATGGATAATAATATGAATTTATAAAAGTTCATTTGAACATTACTTACAAATTGTTTCCCCTCGTTACACAAACTCCGTCACATCACCTGCAGATCTTTTATTTATTCTGGGATACAAGTTTAAGAATGCCCACCCAGAATCTCATCCAGATTTATATCTTTCATCCAGTCATCATTTCCAGAGCCAGATTTAAGCAGAGAGTCAATGAAGTCTGAGTCTGCGTTGATACCTGGGACCGTGTTATCGCCCTCAGGGAGGAAGTCAAAGGTCAATCGGTTGGATCTGTTATTCTGGTAGCTGCCGGAGCTGGAAATGGCATCTGTAAAATTCCCTGCTGGTACCCTCTGTTCAGGAGAGGCCTGGTTCAGGTTTCTCAGCGGTGATGGGCAGCCCACCATGGCTTGGTTTGGTCTGGGACCCACGTCTCCTATTGAGGGGTTTAGAGGGAGCATCCCGATGTCCGGTGCTACCTGGTTGGGTGGGCCGATGTGTCTCTGTTGGTAAGAACGGTTCTGCATCTCTTGCACACCCTGCGACTGCATCGGATTTGGTAGACGTCTAACACCGAGTCCAGTTGTCACTTGCTTGTTGGCTGAACCCCAACCCATGCCGACATTTGTCATTGAGCCGCCAAGACCCTGCGCTGCCACACCGGAGGAATGCAAGTCAGCTGTCGATCTCTGGTGTTGCACACCTGCTACGTTGGTCATTCCAAAGGACTTTCCTTGTGTATTTGGCTCCAGGAATCTAGGCTTACTTTGGTTCAGTTCAATTCGATTATGAGCATTTTGCAGCTGGAACTGATCAATGCAAGGACTCTGATTGCAATCAGACCGGATACCGAATCTTCGGTCTGATGGTAAAGGGCTCATCTTCAAAGCAGATCCGCTTGGCCGTTGGCAAGATATGGACTGTAGGTTATTCCCTGGACCGTTACTGGAAGACTGGGAGGGGTTTTGACCTAAAGAAAAATCAAACAAATCTGGTCACCAATGCTCACCAAAATTGGAAGAATTGCTTAGAAATTAGTAACATAAGTACCAGTGAAGATGTTTCCTTGCTGAACTCCCACCATGCCTCTTGACAGCTTATAATCTGGTGGAGGTCTTGTAAGATGCCGACTAAACTGGTCATGTGTGGTGTCTTTGTCCTGAATATGAAAGACAAAGATTTGGATGATGATTAAACTCTCTAATGCTGTTTTTTTTACTACAAAACAATCTCAAAGTAGCTTACTGCATTGACGATAGTGTGCTGTTGCTGCTTGACCTGTCGATGCATGAACTGGCTTTTGGCTGGGCCTTTGTGCTGGTTACTGGGAACTGAGGGCTGTGAATGTGACTGGGCTGTCATGACTCCTAAGCTCCCATTGGCCTGCAGCCTCGGACCAGCAGGAGCGGCCTTTTAAAAATAGAAACAAAGGGTTTTCATGCAACAAAATCTGCAATAATGACACTATTATAGCTCATTTGAATAAACTCAAATGGGAACCTTTCAATCAAATCAATGCAAACACTTGAGTTGACCACTAGAGGGCAAAGCTCTACAAGAAACCTGATTTCTGTCAAAGATGCTATTGAGCCTCTAGAATGTGGTCAAGGCTACTCCCTCTGCAGATGAGAAAGACTAGAGGCTTTTTTTTTATCGGGGGTAGCTCCTCAAGGCCTGCCTCTCCCTTGATAATTTTGTCTAAAGACAGTGGAAAGAATCCCTGAGACAGAGGGAAATGTGTGCAGATGGGAAGTCAAGCGTCAGCACCATGACTACCTCTATTTAATAATCTCTTCATTACTGATCACTCTGCTGTGTTTGGCAGGGAGACATCCCATCCGCTCAATTCATTTGGCGCATGACATTATTGCTGATTAAAATGTAGCCGACAGTGGCATTATAATTTAACTTAGACACCCCTCACCTTGCATTTTCTTCTCCTGGCATTCTTTGCAAGACGCTTTAGTGCTGCACTATATTTCCTTTAGCTGAACATGTTTAAGCATTTTTTAGGAAGCCCTGCACTCCATTTGAGAACTTCTAACTGAGATGTGTCTTTTTCTTGAGGACACAAGGACACGCTCACTATGCTTCAAATTCATACAGGTTAAGCGATGAAGGAAGCAAATCAAAGTCAACACATCGTGTGTGTACGGTGTCAAGTCACTGTGTTGACTCAAAGGTTTCCCAGGATGAAACGGATTAGTAAAATAAACAATGCATGTATAAATAGCTATTAGGAGGGAAGAAACTTAATTTAAAAGAAATGACACTGGCCAGGTGGAAATTATGATTCCCTGAAGAAGGATGAATAGGATCTGATTGGATGAATTATAATCAGATAATGCAATTAATTAGTGAATTATTAAAAAATAAGTCACTGAACCACATTTGAGAGTGTAAGAACCAGCGACCATCTCTATCAAAATGGAAGAAGCTATTTCCTTCCTTTCGGTAATCAAAAATCCAACGAGTTACTTGAGCCCATAAGACAGAGTAATCCTTTTATTCATACTTGTCAAAAAGTTGTTTTCCGCGCACCCCTCCCTCGCCTTTCTTATTCTTCTCAAGCTTGTCGTAAATGAATACCACATGTGGCTCAGACTCGAGAGAGGGAGCAGAGTGATTTAGACTCCCATCATGCAGCAGCGCAGGCAGCTGACAGTGATCCAGGCCCAGCCTTGCCTGCTCTCACACTGCACTTCCTCCAGTCTGGTCTCGGGATGCTGTCCCTTGGGAGTGCCTCGGCATCTGGACTTGGCCGCTGCTCCTTTTCCCAGCAAACAAGTCCTCCCTTCACAGTGACCTGCTAGCCCAACCCAGTGGGCCCATCCTTCTTACTGGAGGAAGTGGTGCCACAAGATCAACAAAAATGTAACAATCTTTAATTAGAAGAGACAGAAGTCCATGTGCATCACCATGTTTTAAGTATCTGTGTTAGAGGTCTGTTTGGTTTAAAGCAGCACAAAAGTGTTCAACACTTTTAGCTATTGCTTTCAAACTGGTTACAGTGATTCTTGAGTCATAAACTTAAGCAAATTCACACGGGACAGCCCTCTGCACACCAAAAACTGCACTTAAGTTTTGTGGTACTGGTAGGAACACTAGCAGGAGGGCAAATGGGCTATACAGCCACATGTAAAGCTAACATAACGGCTAGCTGTTAGCTTTTTCAGTTTGCCAACTGACAGTAAAAAGCACAAGAAGAAAACAAAGAATTTAGCTTTTTTTTTTTGTTGGCGTCATGGTGGAGTCTGGAAGTAAAAATAACAGCGTAATGTCTTTGGAAGTGAAGCAAAGAGCTAAAGCGAACATCGGCACAGCCCACCCTAGTTTGAGGAAGCTGAAGGAGGCTAAGAAATCACGGACTGAAGAAGAAGAAGAAAAGATATTTTCTATAGCGCCTCTCAAGATAAAAATCACAAGGCGCTTCACAGAAACAAAAAATGTAAAAATATAAAAAAATAATTTAGAAAATGATTAAAACTATAATTAAAATAAGCAAAAATAGACAATTGTGATTAAAAATGTAAAGAAAGAGAGCGAGTGAACAGGGAAGAGGGAAATCAGTGGATCCTGAGGAAGGTGGAATAGGTGGGGAGAGCAGAACAAGGAGAGGGTGATGAAGGTCACACAAAAACCAGCTTGAACTGGTGAGTTTTCAGCTGCTTTTCAAAGGAGACCACTGAGTCCACTGATCTCAGACTCAGGGGAAGAGAGTTCCAGAGTCTGGGGGCCACAGCAGCAAATGATCTGTCACCTGGTGCGTTGCACAACCAGTAGGTTGTGGTGGTCACTGGTGGTGGCCGGACATACTAAACTTGTAAGTAGTAATATTTTTGTCCATATTCTTTGTGGAGCTTTTTACATTGTGGCTTATTTTAATATAATTTGACATTTGATAGTGCTAGCTTGTTGTTAGCTAGCTACAGCAGCCTGCAGAAGGGTTGTTTACGACTGTTGTAATTCTACTTCCAACCAGTAGAAGGAAGAAGTGGGAAAACTCTTGGTGTTGCTTTAAAGAGGGATTCTAGAACTGGAATAGGCTAACTCTGAAATTAACCACTGCTCGATATAACTGCAGCCAAATATCCCGTCTTGGTTTGATTTAGTCTTTATAGCTATACAGGACGCATAGATAAAGTTATTGAAGCAGCCCATTTTGGCCAAAAGTTCCAAGGTATTAATAAAAATCCTACTACTACTATTACTACTATTAAAATAAAAGTCTAAGTCAATAATAACTACATCAGATGGAGCTGCACACAAGACAAACATTTCAGTGTTTTTTCTTCATTTCCTTCAGTTTTGAGTGTGCATAAAGTTTTTTTTTTTTTTGGCATTTGGTCTGCAAAACAAATCCATTTCTAATTTAGTGAAAATTTTTAGGAATTCTTTGCAGAGCCAAAAATTAGGAGTCAATGTCAGGCCAAATGATAAAAATAACATTCTTCAATCAGACTAAATAAGTTTGGATTGTCTTTCTTTCATGTCGACACTGTTGATTAACTCTTTAGAACACAGCTGCAATAATGATGTCAAAACCGATCTACAGCTTAAATTTAGATTTGTTTTGATCCTGAAACTGACTTTTAAATTGTTTTGAGCTTTAAATGAGCATAAAATCTCAGGTCTGGCTGTTTAAAACTAGTCTCACAGCTGCAGTCGGAGAGAGAAAGCTCACTTGTTAGTTGCTAGTGTTACACTGGGGATCAGGCCATTTTCATAAGGCCATTTTCTTAAGCCCTTTATTTCTTTGGCATTACTAATTCAGCTCTCTGTGGGAAAGATTTCACTCCTTTTTTACCCTCCGTGAGCCGTCCCTTCCTCATTAGCTGGATTTTTTACCCTGTCCCCACTGACTGCAAAAAACAAACCCCATTATCTTCATATTTTTAAATAAGCTGTTCTAATATTAGGAGCTAGTGGTTTCTTTTCAAGCATTATGTTTGTGTAATGATTTTTGCCATACATGCTGTAGTGGAAATCCACATTTTATATCCTCAGATTAACTTTGTTTGGATTTACACGAAGAACAATAACATTTTCACACAAATGTTCCTTTCACACTTAGCAGGAAAAAAGGGGGAATCTGAAACTGGCCTACAATCGTATAAATTCCAAGATACCATTTTCGAACATCTGGCTAACTCCTACCTTTTCTCCCAGGAGCGTAAATTTTACCAAGTGACTTGTTTGTTTCCCTCCTTAAGCAATTGAGAAGTTGGACATTATCAGGACTTGGTCTGTCTTACCTCAACCTGCCAAGAACTGACTCTCCCCAAGGCCGGGTGCTTGTAAAACTTCTCAAGGGTCATTCTGGAAGATTCCAGGATTTAGTCTTTATCAAAACCCTGGTATTTTTCTGTTTATCCACAGTCAACAGGTGTTTTAGGTTGTTCAACATTAGAAATCAAGGTGCTCTAAGTTAAAATCTTATCAGCCACAAACCTGAACAGCTTATGCTGTTTTTTCTTTCACGTTAAACTTCTGCCGTTGTGTTTCACCAGTTCAAAACCATGCTAAAAGTGATACAGTCAAGCTTAAGACCTGAAGTTAGTTCTTCTCTGTTTAAAGTAATACTTTTTGAGGCTTTATTTGGGAAAAACTTTGTTAAAATTGTGAGCATGAATCTCTCATGGTGGTAAGACTGGGTTATTTGAAAGAGCCACAGTGCCATCAAGTGGTTAATGAGTGAAATACATGTGGGTGTGACCAAGAAGTTTATAAAACCAGAGTTCAGACCTCATGTGGCAGGAGAAAAAGAGTAAAGATTGCCTTAAGCACAAATCCCTGCGGGCTGTTTCCATCTTGGCCCAACAGAACCCGGCGCTTTACGGTTGTCAAGTAATTGGCTCTCAAAAGTTACGGTAAAACTTAGAAGCAACTCTGTTTTGTTTTGTTTTGACTTCCTACGTGAAACCGGAAGTCTGCGTGTTCGGTCGAGTTCTCATATTAAGAGTAAAAGCAATTTGGAACAGTTTGATGATTCGGCTCCGTTTGGGATAATTTGGGCCCTCGATCTGAATTCCACGTTTCGAGGCCGCAGAGGTGAAGGAACCTTGAGTCAAGCCACCATGGGAGAACACCTCCTTCTATTCACCACAGACACCGTTGACCTAAGCTGGGGTGCCAAAAAGTCCTACGGCGGCTGAAGGCTGCATTCAAGCTTCTGGACCTGGCTGAACCAGCCCACAGGACACCTCTTTGGCGACGGGAAAAGGTCTGTGAAGCACCTCATCTGGCTGACTTTTGTGCTAAGCCCGATTAGTGAATTCAGATTAGTCCATTTCTTTATGGCGTGTTTTTTATTTCGATCCCAGGTTCCCGTTTAGCCTTCAAGATCCCCTCCCTTCTTCTGCCATAACGAGCCACACACACACACACACACACACACACACACACACACA